GCTACTCAGGAGGCTGAGGCAGGAGAATTGCCTGAACCCAGGAGGCGGAGGTTGCGGTGAGCCGAGATCGCGCCATTGCACTCCAGCCTGGGTAACATGAGTGAAACTCCGTCTCAAAAAAAACAAAAAAAAAAATCTGTTAACAGCTCCAGTGATGATCTGGCTTGTAATGATGGTCTCTGCTTTCTTGGGTTTGGAGTAAACAATTGTAATATTTACTTAGCTATTTGTGTTTCTCTTTGTTCAAGGTATCGGCTATTTTCATAATTGTTTAGAAGTTTTTCCTCTCCTTGATTGGAAAGATTATATTGTACAATATTAAAATAAGTTTATTACTTGAAAAAAAAGCATCTAACTCAAAGTATAATTTTTCCCTATGATTGCAACATTATTTTTAAACAAAAAGTAGAGCAAAAACAGTGTTTTTGCTCTAATACTAAATAGTAAATACTAAATACTCTAATACTAAATACTAAAAACCGTATGACTGGAAAAAAATGTCATCATCTATAGAAATAAAGTCGGTCTTACTTTAAAGATATTTCTGAATTGCACCCAGTGGGCCACAATCATTATTAAACACAGAGGTGATTTACAATGGTCACACATCGAGTAATGTGCAAAGGACTGCAAACTTATTTCAAGGTGCAGTGTGATTTCTACTCTGAGAACAGAAAATAGAGGGGCCCTGGGGGCAAAGGAGAGCACAGGATATAGACACGCATCTCCTTTCGAAAGTACATTACGTGCAAGTATATGAAGACGAGATTCTATACTTACAGATCTCTGGCCACTAATGATGTTTCAATGTCTCTTTACCCATGCACATGTGAAATATTTCACTCTGTGTTAGTGATCTCCATTAAAGACATTTGCCCATCAGAGTGATGGTAGGCAGAATTCTACCTGTTCTAATCCCTGGAGCCTGTGATTATAGCAGGATACCAACCCTGTGATTATGTTATGCTATATGGCTCCGTTGGCTTTATGATGAAAGTTTTCCAAACGGGTCATTTGTAATCACATGAGCTCCTGTAAAAGCAGGAATGTTTTTTTCTGGCTGATGGCAGAAGAAGAGGTCAGTTTCAAAACACAGTAAGGGCTCAGTGTGCCCTGGCGGGCTGGAAGATGAAGAAGGGTTTGCTATGTGAGAGAAGCCAGGACTGGCCTGCAGCTGAAAGCCAACGACAACAAAACAGGGACCTCTGTCATCCAACCACAAAGAAACGGATTCAGCCACAACGACATGAGCTCGGAAGAGGAGGGCTGCCACGCCTCCAGATGATAATGCGGATTGGCTGACACCTTAATTTATGTCTTGGAAGGTCCTGAGAGTTATAAACTACCAGATGTCTGATCAGAAGAACTGTGCAGACAGACGAGCGTTGTCAGAAACTGCCACGTTTGTGGTATGTTAAGCAGCAATAGAAAATGATGTGGAGCCAGCCAACCATGCAGAATGTTCTGGGAACATAACTCTGCCAGAAAAATCGGGAGAGCACGTGACTCATAACTCATCTGTCAAACTCCCAACCTCTTAACAAACAGTAATTAGGCTCACCTCTTCTGTTTGGTCCACAGACAGCTACCAACCAAACAACGTCTGCCAGAGCTTACTTACTTTGTCAACTCAGCATTCGTACTTGCCACAAATCCTGCTATGGATTCCTGTCGACGAACAATATCGTGGAAACAATCAATGCCAATGAACATTGTTCTTTGTACCTTGAGTTAGAATGTGAGCAAAATTTCAGCGTTAACAAGAGCGAATCTCGAGTTTTATCAGATCTAAGTTAAACGGAGTCGATGAAATACAACATACATTTGTCTCCACCTTCCAGAGGGCTCCTCCCATCTTGCAGTTCATCTGCTGGGCAATCTTCGTGATGATGGTCCTTGCCTGGACCTTCTCGATGGTCCTTTTCACCACACATTGGCTTGGAATCGGGAATGTGGTACATAGGTATTTTTTTATGTGGTCGTATCTGTTTTTGTCATCATTGGGCAGGACACAAATCACCTTGAAAACCAGAAAACATGGTATTCCTGAAGATACAACAGTGATACAGAAAAGAAAAACCATCTGGAGCAGGCAACTTAGGTGGCAGACTGACATGCTAGAGTCAGTTTATTAGGAAAATATTTGAGTCCAAGAGGGTGAAGGGTCTAGAGCCATGTTAATTATAACAGTTATATCAATTTATAATATATTTAGAAAATTGTCGGTGGCTCACGCCTGTAATCCCAACACTTTGGGAGGCCGAGGCAGGTGGATCACAAGGTCAAGAGATCGAGATCATCCTGGTCAACATGGTGAAACCCCGTCTCTACTAAAAATACAAAAAATCAGCTGGGCATGGTGGCGCGTGCCTGTAATCCCAGCTACTCAGGAGGCTGAGGCAGGAGAATTGCCTGAACCCAGGAGGCGGAGGTTGCGGTGAGCCGAGATCGCGCCATTGCACTCCAACCTGGGTAACAAGAGCGAAACTCCGTCTCAAAAAAAAAAAGAAAGAAAATTGTAATTAGTTATAATTATTAGTTTCATTAAACAATTAGAAGGGCGAATGTATGGAAGAAACAAAATAACATTATAAAGTATAATTAACATTAATTTGCTCTAAGTGTTTAAATCAGTGTTATAAATTATGCTTAATGTTATAAATTATAATTATAAATGACAGCAATTGCTGCAAGAGGCGATTTGGCAATATACATCAATTGCTTAAGCCTGCGGTATCATTGCCATCCTACTTGTTCAGTTTCCAGGAACTTATCACCACGTTGACGGGGATGGATTAAAATCAGGCTGAAGGATACAATGGTCAGGACAGTCACCATTTACAAGACTATCACAAAGAGAAACGGGGGGAAAAAAACACTAAGGCAGGGCCTTAGTAAAACTCTTTTAAACAACCTGAAAAATCAAGCTGCAACTGCACAGATAAGGGAGCAAGGCCCAACACAGAAATGCCTTTGTTCTTTGTGTCATCAGCAGGCTCCCAGGAAAACGCTTCCTCCCCGTCTATGGACAGGTACACACTGTGGGCTCCATGGGCACTTGCACAAGGGGGAGGCGTGGCTGAGACGTGCCTGCAGCTGCACAGATTAGGACAGTTGCACAGACGGCCATACAGGGAAATTTCTTCTAAACGCTTTTGTGTTCAGTTGTAAAGTGGCAGCCCTCTCAGGCCCCCTCTCTGCTGCAGAGAGCTTTCCTCTTTTGCTCCAACCTTACTCTTGGTGTCCACACTACTAAATTTTCTTGGCCATGAAACAAAGAGCTCAGATAACACCTCACACAATGCAACAGCATCATCATGATGTGTAAGGCACTTGCCGAGCGGTTTACCTGGCAAAGTTAATACTTTCAGCAACCCGCCGAAATGAGTAGTAGTATTCCCATTTTACTGCCGAGTAAGCAAACTTAGGAGTTACGGAAATTGCCCGATTTCCAAGCTTTCAAATACTGGGTTGGATCTCCAGTAGGAAACTAAGCAGTTAGGAAGACTGGCTACTAGTTGGGTTATTCCTGACTTTCTTGGGAAAATGATTAGTAAGCACCATCATGTTAAAAATAATTTAAGTAAATTTTTGGCGGACATCTTTTATCAGATTAAGGAAATTCTCTTCTCATTCTATACTGGTTTTCTTCCTTTCACGTGAAAGGGTATAGATTTTCAAATGCATTGTCTGCAGTGAGAAATATTTGTCCCATCGTTCAGACTAAACAGTTAATCATTTACATTTTTTCTACAGGTGACCTATTTCAAACTTTCAAATGACTGCCATACAGTAGCTTTCGGTGGTTTAGTATTTCATTAATCGCCAGTGAATCTATGCTAATGAATTATACTTGTTTCTGTTTTTTTAGACTTAGTCATCTTCAGTCTTCACAATATCAAATTTTCATATTTTCAAAGGACCAGCTTTTAATTTTTTGGTTTTGGTTTACAGATGAGTGGTGAGATTAGAATTATATGTACAGATTAGAAAATAGCATTATCTCAATATTAATTTTCTTAAATGGGTAACGTGTTAAGAGTGTCTTGGTTTTCAAAATACCCACTGACATATTTAGAAATTAATGGAGCAGCATAGCACACATACATACACATACATAGTAACTACCATGAATTACAATCATATGCATATGGTAAAGGAGAAAAACAATGATTATACAAATGTGGTAAAAAATGGGTATTTGTATTATTTTTCTAATTCTTCCTATAAGTCTGAAATTACACTAAAATATAAGATGAAAGGAAATAAAAGTTTCTAAATATCCAGAAAAAAATAAATGGAAGGTTTAGATTCGATTAATGCATAATTTTTTTTTGAGATGGAGTCTTGCTCTGTCGCCCAAGCTGGAGTGCAGTGGCATGATCTCGGCTCACTGCAACCTCCGCCTCCCAGGTCCAAGGGATTCTCCTGCCTCAGCCTCCTGAGCAGTTCGGAGTATAGGCACGTGCCACCATATCCATCTAATTTTTTGCATTTTTAGTAGAGACGGGGTTTTACCGTTTAATCGAGATGGTCGCGATCTCCTGACCTCATGATCCACCAGGCTTGGCCTCCCAAAGTGCTGGGATTACAGGCGTAAACCACCATGTCCGGCCACATAATTTTTTTTTTTTTTTTT